TTATTATCTATTGGTGGATCAATTTTCAGCATATCCTCATTTGCCTTGTTTCCGTTCCTTGTTTCTGCTGTGGTAAACCTAGTTCACCGCCCCTGCAGATTGACAACGACATCGCCCTCATTCGTGTCTCCTCGCCCGTGAACCTCGACTTGCTTGGAATCATGCCCGTATGCCTCCCATCTCCCACGGACAGTTTTGAAAACCAAGACGGAACTGTCACTGGTTGGGGAACTTTGTCATCTGGTGAGGCAGCCAACTTGTGTTCACATGTGCCATACAAATTTGCAACATATAACAGCCTTTTGTGTTGCCACGTTTGAGCTAATGAGCTATTTCCAACAGGTGGTAGCCAGCCGAATAAGAATTACGAGGTCACGGTGCCCATCAGAACAGACAGCGAATGCATCGGTTCTTATGGAAGTGAATTCACAGTCGATAACATGATCTGTGCTGGTTTTCCCTCGGGAGGCTCCGACTCCTGCCAGGTAGGCTAAAGACCGAAATACTAAATACTGAACCGAGTTCAAGTTCATCCTAGCAACCGCTGGAATAGGGTTTCAATGTAAACTTGTTAATAACTGTTTGACTTACAGGGCGACAGTGGCGGTCCCCTCACAGTCGACGTTAATGGCCAGCACTATCTCGCTGGCATAGTGAGCTGGGGATACGGATGCGCTTCAGCTGGCTACTACGGCGTTTACACCAACGTTCCCAGTGAGTGACCCTTCTCTGGGTTGGGTTAGCTTTCTCTTTCCTGGCCATGTTCTTTTCGATGTGCAACTGGAATAATTAGAACTATTATTTTACATATTTTACTGCAATTATTTCACTTTCCCAGATTATATGAACTTCATCCAGAATAATGCTAATACTGGGAACTTCTGCTAAGAGGAGCTGCCAGAATCCAGATCGATCTTCAACAGATGACGACTCATGCCAACGAGAAGCCAATCCAAACATGCTGATGACTCTGAACACTGAAACTGATCAACGAAAGCCGGGGATCGAAGTACCTTGACCCAAGTCCGGGATTCTCGCCATTTTGACCAGGCTTATGCTGTGTCTCAGAAAAGTAAACGCTGGAAACTCATCCCAACCTTCCTTGCCCTACGATTCGCCAAGTCCCCCTTTTTTATTCTAATCACCTGATCTAACAGTTGTGATTTCATATATTTAAAGTTTCGAATCAGAGGACTCGGGTGAGTTGCCAGTTTTTGCTCTCTTGATAGTGGACAGAGTTTTGTCACGTTTCACAGGAGACAAGAAGAAGCCAGACTGAAAAGAGTTATTTGCCCAGTTCCTCCTAATTTTGCGCGAGTAGTGATAATCTATAGGTTATGATCATCTTATCAGCTTCTTAAGTCTTCCACTGCCGTTATAACACCACTCTGAAAACGTTTTGAAGCCTGCTAAGACGTACGAAAACTATGGGAGTTTCAATGGGCGACCTGAGTTCCTGGGCTAAGGCAGGGTAGTAGACCGCGGCCTTAAGAAACTATTACGGAGAACAACGGCTTTGTTTTGAATGACTTCTGTGCCTTTGTTTGCTGCAAATAAAAACCATATTATAATATGTTTTTGCCTTGACCTCTTGCTGATGGAAGAAAAAATAAGGCCTGCACTGAGAAAGAAAATTTAAAATTATAATGCAGACGCGCACGCACACACACACACGCACACGCACGCATGTATGCGCGCGCACATACACACACACACTAAGCATACACGTCGTCAGTATGTTAGAAATAACCCAACACAGAAAACGGAATCAGCGTCACCTTAGAAAACAGAGTTTTAGTCTCATTTGCGAACTGTATTAGACTTTGGTGACGCATCATTTAGGCTATGACATAAAAGCATGTTGCAATATTCTTTTTACAACACTATGAAATTTACTAATGACGGCTGTGTCGACCTATTAATAGACCAACACGAGTAGGAGATACTCATCTGTCCATTTACTTTTACGAAGACCAAAGGTTCGAGAGTACTGAAATGGAAATAAAGAAAATAATGGTTACCACACGAAAGAAATAGTATGCTTATCTATTCTCATGTTCATATGTAATAAAGCCAGAATGAAAAAAAAGAAAAGAAAAGAAAAAGGATTGTTATAACACACCTAAATTAGCATTGTATTATTACTAATCCGATATTATGATTTCTTAGGCAAGTAATCACGCATTAGTTTGTTTGTTTGTTTTATATACAGAAGCAAATCAGGATAATTTTCTGTTTAGTGCGTTATATTTTTATTGTATACAAAATTATGAGACAACCCCAGTCAATATTTTTGCTCGAAACTTTTGTGCATTGCATGGCAAAGACTATTTGATGTTTTCCTCACATTATTTACTAGCTAAAGTTTGATGATTACTAGAATTCTATTAATGATAATTTAATAACTTATAATGTTTACGAATAGAGTTTAAACAGTTTTTCGCATCCATATGCATTTAACAATCACCTCTCTCAGGCATTGCCATGTCTTGCGTCAGGGCTGCTTCACAGCGCCTGGCACTCTGTGGTCCTGGGGGTGCGTGACATCCGTCGCCTTGGCTGCCTCAGGCGTGGTTCTTGTATTCTGAACACGGCGACATGCCTCCGGTGTTGGGGATCCTGAAGGTCGTTTATTTTCGCGGGACCTTCCCCACTAATTACCTTGATTACTCTGTATCCCTCTAAGGAGATCGAGGAGATTCGTAGCAGTTCTTCCACGTGTTAGAGGAGCTCAGTCCATCATAGGACAGACCCTCTTGCATCCAAAAGATACGAAATGCTTTCCTTACAAGAGGGTTCTGGTGATTGCAGTGGCGTGGGTTATGTTTGGTGCAGAATTGAACTGCCACTCATTACCCAAGGCTACGATGTTCTGCAGGACGGTATTAGTATGCTACTGCCGTTTCTTTACCGTGATCGTAATTAGCCGAGAAGGGTGATCTCGTCCCTAAACGCGTGTGCCTCGATGAACCAGATGCAGAAGGCTTAAGTCATTTAAACTGTGATTTAAGTCACACCTTTCACGGAATAACAATACATTGGTGTTTAACAGACAAACATTTCTTTGGTCAGACCAATTAGTTTCTTTCACATTTTATAGATGGAATACGAACTAGAAAAAAAATACGAAGTATGAGATACGACAGGACTTACAGTGTTTGTTACAAAGAGAAATACCAGAAAAAGGGAATTGCCTAAGGGAGGGGTTAGGAGGAAGGGGAGAGGGGAATGAGAAGGGAATAAGAAAGGCAGATGATCTGAAGGAGAGAGGAAGGGGGGAAATAAGAAAGAAGATGGAAGTGGTGAGAGAACAGAGGGAATCAAAGGACGAGCCTTTGCCTAAGCTGCGAGTCTTACCAAGGAGGTTGTTTGCTCTTGCGCGTTTGTGGTTTGATGTGTGATGATTAGATTCCCATAATCGCAAAATAAATAAATATGTGCTATTCTATTTGTTCTTGTTTAATTTTCTCTCCTTTGAAAAGTGTGTATTTGAAATCTTCACTGTGGCAATGCAATGCAAATTTAAGAAAATAAAAATGGCTCATTTCAGGCTGCTTCCAAGTGTCCACATTGTATGGATGGCAACAAGGAACAGCCTTTTAGAATTTGAAAATTCGTGTGAGGATTTGTGAACAAGTGTCCCTAAACTTTTTTTAATGGATACAGCAGAAAACACTATCAATCTTCCCCTCCCTCTTAACCCTTCCATTTTCCAAAGGCATTAGTGGAACTTTACCCCTTTACCCCTCTTCTCATTTTCTCACTTTATTAATGCTTTAAACTTCTAATATATTTTTTTCAGGTATGTCAAGCTACGTATCATGCATAATTTCAAGAACATCTCTGATCCCAGTATATAAACTCTCTAGGTACGATGCACGAGGACCCGTCGAGCCGTCGACTATGTAAAACCTTGTTGATACATAACCCACTTGCTATTTGTCTAGCTTATCGTTAGACATCTAACGATAAGCACACATACCCATACATACATACAGACACGTGTATACACACACACACACACACACACCATGTGTGCGTATACATATATGCGTATACATATACATATATATGGCAGAATAGAGCGTTGTTGTGTCCCCTTGATACAACGCATTTATGTTGAGACAGACACTTAGTGAGACCGGCGCCTCTCTCGCCAAAGTATTGCTTACCACGGGAGAGACTCGTACAAGGAACCGCATAGGTGGCCACCTTCGAGGTAGAGGGAGAGCTAATGTGGACCAGGTTGCTATGGAGAATGTTCACCTGACGAAAGATCAGCCTGCAGGTGAGAGGGTGAAAAGGGCGACGGAGAGCAAATCTCAGTGTAGTGCAGGCTGAGGACTGGCAGGTGAGGAAACCGATCTCTCCATCCAGGTACTGGAGTCACAGAAGCGGAGGCCAAGGAGAAACAGCGAGGGGGCAATGCCTCTCTTTACATGGAGTGGATGGTACGGGAAGAAATGTATGTACATACCACTGTGCATAAGTTTCCTGTGTATGGAGACGAAGTGGTTAGCAGAGCGATGAACTAGCCTGTCCAAGAAAGGGACCATTCCACCTTTAAATAGATGGAAGGAGAGAGAGAGAGCTTAGCTGCATCAGGACACTCGAGAACTGGCCATGAGGCCAGAGAGCAAAGACGCTATCGACATACCTCAGCTAAACCGAAAGACAAAAGGGAGATGGAAGGGAGAAGCTCAGACTAATATTCTATGAACAGGTTTGCCAAGACTGTAGAGAGGGGAGAGCCCATGACAACACCGAACGTCTGAGAGTAGAAGCGACCCTCAAAAGAAAAGTAATTAGACTTCATGCACAGACGAATCAGCTGGAGGAAGATGTCGGTGGACAGAGGGAGGATGGGCAGGAGAGCCTCCTCTGAAGGAAAGTGGGACCTTGGTGAACAGGGAGTCGACATCCAAGCTCATTATGATCGCCGGCGAGGCACCACGGACACAGGAGATGAAGTCCTGATAGTTGCGGAGGTGAGCAGGAGGGAGAGTGCCAAGAAGTGAGACTGATCTGATCTCTCTTCGTTTTCGTTCACCTGTCTTCACCTGCCACGTGTTCACCGCGTTGCCTCTCCTATTTCTCTTTTATACTCCCTCCTCTTCCCTTCCCCTTGGCCAGGCCATATATGGAAGGCCCGGGCGAAGCTAGAACTTCGCAAATCTCTAAGTAATCCTTCACCTTCAGACCTGAAGAGGGAATCGAAGAGGATTTCGAAATTGTTGTCTTTTCATTAAATCTAGTTTGTACATTGTTGATTTTTTGAAATCTGTGTTGGAGAAAGGAATTACTACTGAAATAACCACCTACTTAATGTATCTCAAAGAAAACTGAAGAGACTACTCCAGATCATTAAATCATCCATTGGTGAAAGCACCTATAATTTACTATCAACTTCTGGTTCCCAACTCTCTCGTAACAGTTACGAGAAGTGTCAACGATTTACCAACTAGAGATGTTACTACCCGTTTTCGAACGACAAACAACGAGAGGGTAGGGGTCTCGTAACCGTAACGACCGTATTTACTATCGCTAGGTACCGTAGGGCTATATTTCCTTGAAGAACGGCTCGAACGACCAATCAGCGTTAGCTCGGAAAAAAATCGACCAATCACAGAGCGTTAACCGCTGAACTAGGGTAGCACTAATGAGGTTTATCAATAACAGTTTCTTAATGAAAATTTCACATAAAATGTGATTAAACAGGATTTCTAAAATGGTATTCCATTCTAGAAAGCAAATAAAGGTGGGTCATGAGACATTTAATGCAGGTAAATGTCTTTTTTCTAGTTAGAGTCAGGTGCAATGGGTCACTTTCATCAGTAAATGTCTATTAATCTCCACCACGTTTATCAAGAAATTCATAAATTCTGATATATAAACATATACATATACATCTATCTATATAAATAACAAAATCATAACACCTACAAATATATATAAATAAATACATAAATATGTATATAAATATGTATATATTCATATATACATATGAACACACACACACACACACATAATATATATATATATATATATATATATATATATATATATATATATATATATACATGTATATATACATATGTATATATATGTATATTACACACATACATCTTTGTCTCTAGCTCTTTCTCTTTCTTTTACTCAGTAATTTTATCACATGATTTTTTTCCCAAAAGTGCAAGTCAAAAGCATTTCATCATAATTTCATAAAGAGAGTATAATACACTACATCAAATTTGTTAAAATTATCTTTTCTTATTATCCATCAGTAAGTTAATCCCTTGCTTCCCTAATATTATATAGGGGTATTAAGAGGTGTGCTTATATATTGATAACCTTTGTTATTGAATATTCATTATGACTTGTTGTTTTAGAGATAGTCATACTGATGGAAGTTATACATTTTCATTCAAAATTCGTTCCTGATGATGTGTCAGAACTTCTTTAATTAATGATAAACATTTTTTTTTGAGTGATATATATTAGGCCTAGGTTATCCTTATTTACATTAGCCATATTGTTTTTTTTTTTTGTAACTATGCCTCATCATTGTGTTGCTCTCACACATTGATTTCCCCAAAGAAAACTCACAGCTGCACTTTTGAAGGTCTTTATTAGGCTGATATGAGCACAGGAGGGTCGCCTGACGAACGTTACGAGTGGTTTCGGGCACCCGCAGGTTTCTCGTACGGAGGTTTGTTTACGACCTCGGAAGTGTTTTGAAAATTCGCTCGTTGTGAGGAAGTAGCTTGATTTACGATGCAAACAAACCTCATACGATCTCGTATGTGCGTTAGTAAATCTGGCCTCCGGATTACTGTATGGTCTCCCCAAAGTACACAAACCTAATATTCCACTTAGATCCATTATTTCATCTATTGACACCTTTAACTATAACTGCAAAATTTCTGGTTCCCTTTTTGTCTCCTTTAACTACCAATCAGTATACCATTGGGAAATACACAGCTTTTGCAAATGAAATCACATCCCTTAACTTCAAACAACCCATCACTTAACAACTTTTGCAGCCCACCACTCTTTATTTTCGTATGATGATTATATACAAACAGACAGAGTAGCAACGGGTTCTCTATATGCCAATGCTTTTCTCTGTCACCATGAACTAAACTGGCTTAAACAATGCCCACCTAAATAAAAACTCATTTACTACTGTCAGTATATTGGTTTAAATTTACCGCCAACTACCCTTTCTAGACACCTATATTACCAATGATGATGAACTTCTATATGTATGTGTATATATATGTATATATATATATATATATATATATATATATATATATATATATATATAGCTAGGTAGATATATAGATACAGATATATAGATATACATCTATACATGTTTACATGTTATATATATATACATACATGAATGAGGAAAACACTCTACCGTGTTGATACTATGGTAGAAAAACCCACAATGTAAAAACTAGATTTATTGAATAAATCTAGTTTTTACATTGTGGGTTTTTCTACCATATACATACATGTATATATTATATATGTATATATATTATATATGAATATATATACATATATATGTATGTATATATATATTATATATACATGTTTGCCTTTATGCACATATGTATATTTACATATTTACATATACATGTGTTTACTTTTTGAAAAATAGTTGCTAACGCTAGGAAATTGTTGGTACCCCTGATTTTCCATCCACTCTTGGGTATATGTAGTAAATCACGAAGAAAGAGGCTATAATTTCGCAGGTGATTTACAATATTGTATAATACTTTGTCACTAATCAATTATCTTTTTTTACTGCTGTTTTAATGTTAGGTCAATTGTCATAACACGAGAGAAGACAAGTTCTAGGTGTTGTCAGACCAGTGATATGACAGTTGCTAGTCACACGCATTATTGCTATTATATTACCTAATGAGTATTGGTATATTAAACTGAAATAAAAAAAACAAAAACAAGGAAAGTATGATACAATGAATATATTCAAGTTTTATAATTTGTGTTTCCTCCCCTCTGCTGATGAAACACAGCTCAAGCGTCGAGGCTTAACTCCACTAATTCGGCTGTCAAAGCACGGCCTTCCTCACAGCGAAGTCGTGCCTATGCTTCCAAGGCATTGTTCATGATTGCGAGAGTTTTGCCACGGCCGTCCATACGTTTTCCTTTGGATTTACGAAACCACATGGCTGTTATGGGTGGGGATGATTTTCTAAATAAGATAGAAAGGATTTGTTTCAGGAACACCCTAACCCTAACAGTTGGAAGGAAATCAGCCAGGGCCGACCTCCGTGCATCCACCCAAACAAACCTGCGGTGATTCACTCCTCCGCTTGCGATCACATTATCTGGTTCAAATGTGTTAAATGATAACACTGCATTAGATACAAAATTAGATATATATAAAAAATGTTTCAGCGTTAATTTTTATTAAAATAAACATCTTTCATCAAAATGTCGAGCGAAAATAGGAGGGGTTCGGGTGGTGTCGTTACCTACCTGTATTTTGTTGACGCTAGACATACATATCTCGCAGCGTTGGTGCCTTCAGAAAAAAGCTTTCTCGTTGCAGATTATTATTATATCCTAGAAGGCCTGTGGCTTGCCTGCATATTGCAAGGCATAAATTCCATCCTTTTCGGGAATTTGATACATCAGAGCGAGACTAATTCGAACCCCAAAGTACTGATCCTTCCGTAACATAAGGTTCTTTTCGTTATTGAATGTTTCGAAACCCTAACCCTAACGATAGTTTTCTGTGTGGCTGTACGTGTGTTTGTTTGCGTGTGTGTGTGTGTCTGTGTGTGTATGTGTATGTGTATGTGTGTGTGTGTGTACATATATATGTGTTTGTAAATTCATATATATATATATATATATATATATATATATATATATATATATATATATATGAATGTATCTCCAACTGTATATTCCAGTGTAGGCCTATATCCAAATTAATAATTCTACCAAAAACTGTAATGTGGTCCAGGCAGACAAAATTTCGTAAAGAATCTCATTACGAAACAATTACCTAATTCTATGAAAAAGTCTCTGTTCTAACGATCGCATCTCGAGTCGAAATGTTTGTTTTCGAACGCTTTTTGCAGGAAGTCTTTCTCGCCTGTTTACTTGTAACAGTCCCAGAAGGGGGAAGCAGTATTTTTTTCAATGCCGTTTCATTATCAATTTTTTTTAACGTGTTTTATATCAATTATTAAAAAAAAAATATATATCTAAATGTATATATCTGTATATATCTAAATCTATCTATCTATATATATGTGTGTCTGAATATATCTATATCTATCTGTTTATCTACCTATCTATATATATACATGCATATGCATACATACATACATATGTATATATATACAGAAATATGTATATATATGTATATATAAGTTTATACACACACACACACACACACACACACACACACACACACACATATATATATATATATATATATATATATATATATATATATATGTATGTATGTATATACGATTGTATATATGTATATATGTTATATATATATATTAAAATATATATATATAAATAAATATATATATATATATATATATATATGTGTGTGTGTGTGTGTGTGTGTGTTTATATCCGTGTATATATATATTCGATATATATGTAGAAAGATATATATGCATATATATACACAAATACATACGTATATATATACATATACATGCACACACACACACACACACACACATATATATATATATAATATTTGCACATATATAGATCCAAACACACATATATATGTGTGATTTTGGTTCACAACGATTTTATAGAGAATATGGACATGGCTGATGAGTGCTTTATCAGTCCAGCATCTCATCATATTTATCACCTTTCTGTGGGATTTAACTTTTCATAAATCGAAGTCAAATGTATGCCATTAAGCCTATAAATCAGGCAATTTGCGAGGATGTGGCTTGGAATGGCGTGGGCGAAGGCCTTTAAAAGGGCTCGGACAGAATCCTGACTTCACTTCCCAGCTCTCTTTGCCTTGAGACGCCCACTCTCGTCTCCTGGGACTTCCTGCTGAGCGCCAGAGCCTGTTAAGGACTTCCTTCTGGTTGTAGAACCTTTCTGGGACTTCCTCCTCCTCCTCCGAGATGAAGGCGCGGGTCTTGAGGCTTCTGGTGGCAGTTGGAGCTGTCCTGGTCTCTGCCGCGGGGGCGTCTGCGATCGCTGGCCATCACGTGAGTACATTTTCGGATGGGTAGACCCCGTCAGCTGTAATATATATTTAAAAAATTTAAACTGCACTTCGGTTTTCCTGACTGTCCTATACTTTTTTACTTAGATCATTGGATCATGTACATTAATGCGAATACCCTTTACTTGGGACTTCCAGAGCCGCAATGGAACCAGCCATAAGGAGCCAAAGGACTCGCACAAGCAGCCAAAATTAGGTGAGTCACTCGCTCTGTTTGCGTCTCGTGCAAATACTCACGCCTCAGGAAGGGAGACTAATGCATTCACTCACTGTGTGATTGTTTTGTTGCATTCTCGTAGTTGATTTACTCATAGGTACATGTTAAGTTTCCTATTGTATTTCCTTCTAGTTCCTAACTGCGGGAATAACCTGGTTAGCACTGGCGATATAACCTTACAGCCCGGAGAAAGCATCAACATTGCCTCTCCTAACTTCCCTGCTCCGTACGCGAGCAACTTGGAGATGATATGGAGTATCACGGTATTATCATTTATCACAGTTATTGCATATCCTCTTGAAATGATCTGCTAGTTCATCGTATCAGAGACTGAATAGCCGTCCGATTTCATCATCCTTTCATTATCACAAGAACCAATTGTGCTTTCCTCTACCACAGGCTCCTTTTTCTGACTATCTGAATATCAACTGCGACATCCAAGGGATCCTGGGAAGGTGGACGTGCAAGAGAGGAGACAAGCTTATTATCAAGGATGGATGTTCGAGGGAAAGGTTAAAGAAGCCGTTACATTCTAACATGAAAGGAAATGTATTAGAAAGGATATGAGAGATTAGATTTAAACAGGTTCCCTGTGTTCGTTTCTCTTAAACAGCAAATGTACAGTAACTGTACATGTTTTGGTATTCTTTATCTAAACTTTATTGCCGTTTGTTTTTGTCCTTATTTTTAATGTGTTTTCTGAACAATGTTTTTTATCCCCCTTGAATCATCAGGCATCTATAGTTTGGTCTATTCCTCATATGTATGCTAACTTTAAGTTTATGGTGATTTGGCACGCAGGGTATGCTCCAGAACACCTACGGTAGAAAACATAGATACCTGTGCAACTATGGCCAATATAATTTTCCGGACGAATGCCTTAGGGTCTCTAGATGGTTTCTGCTGCACAGTGACTGCTGTCAAAATAGGTATCTGTATAAACTTTCTCTCAGTATTTTTTGCGACCATAGTAATTAATGTCAATGTGGACAAAATTGTAAAATTGAATAAAATACCACCACAGGAGCACCCACTGAAATCACCACAGAAGACTCCGCAGCCGTCACCACAGATGGAAACACTCAAACTAACGCACCAAATACTTGCCGTAAGTACCACACAATTTCATGATAGAGAGAACACATGAAGTGGAATGATTTCCAGTAGGATTTAGACAGTATAATGTCTCGTGTTTTTATTTTTTTTAACTTTTCATAGTTATTTCTAAAAAGTTATTTTTCAGTCTGCTACGTCTGCATTGTTCATAGCCAGCAAGTTCTCTTTTGACATCACAGCAGTTTGACAAACCATAGCCGGTGTTCCATTAATGCAAAACTTTCATCACATAAAACTCCGTCCATTCTCCAGCATGCGGCGTGCCTAACAGAAGCACAAGGATTGTGGGCGGTGTGGTGACAGAGATGAACGAGTACCCTTGGCTGGTCGGTCTGTCCCAAACTGGTGATAATGTGAATCATCCCTTCTGTGGCGGATCTGTCTACAACGATGAGTGGGTGGTGACAGCAGCCCATTGTGTTGATGGGTGAGTGCAGAACAGACTGGGTGGATCTATATCTTATTTTTTTGTTTGTCTTTATTTTGCCCTTGTTTTACAGCAGCACTTACTTCTCAACAAACTAAGTATAATCGAGATTTTCTTTGGACCGAGCAGCAGCAGCCCTTCTAGCGTGGAGATCCTCTACAACATGTGGGACTGGACGTCTTCCACTGCGACGCAGATCGTCAAAAGGTCCGTTGCCGAAATCATCATGCATCCCCAGTACGACAGCACCACGGTGAGTCACCTGTTATTATCTATTGGTGGATCAATTTTCAGCATATCCTCATTTGCCTTGTTTCCGTTCCTTGTTTCTGCTGTGGTAAACCTAGTTCACCGCCCCTGCAGATTGACAACGACATCGCCCTCATTCGTGTCTCCTCGCCCGTGAACCTCGACTTGCTTGGAATCATGCCCGTATGCCTCCCATCTCCCACGGACAGTTTTGAAAACCAAGACGGAACTGTCACTGGTTGGGGAACTTTGTCATCTGGTGAGGCAGCCAACTTGTGTTCACATGTGCCATACAAATTTGCAACATATAACAGCCTTTTGTGTTGCCACGTTTGAGCTAACGAGCTATTTCCAACAGGTGGTAGCCAGCCGAATAAGAATTACGAGGTCACGGTGCCCATCAGAACAGACAGCGAATGCATCGGTTCTTATGGAAGTGAATTCACAGTCGATAACATGATCTGTGCTGGTTTTCCCTCGGGAGGCTCCGACTCCTGCCAGGTAGGCTAAAGACCGAAATACTAAATATTGAACCGAGTTCAAGTTCATCCTAGCAACCGCTGGAATAGGGTTTCAATGTAAACTTGTTAATAACTGTTTGACTTACAGGGCGACAGTGGCGGTCCCCTCACAGTCGACGTTAATGGCCAGCACTATCTCGCTGGCATAGTGAGCTGGGGATACGGATGCGCTTCAGCTGGCTACTACGGCGTTTACACCAACGTTCCCAGTGAGTTCTCTGGGTTGGGTTAGCTTTCTCTTTCCTGGCCATGTTCTTTTCGATATGCAACTGGAATAATTAGAACTATTATTTTACATATTTTACTGCAATTATTTCACTTTCCCAGATTACATGAACTTCATCCAGAATAATGCTAATACTGGGAACTTCTGCTAAGAGGAGCTGCGAGAATCCAGATCGATCTTCAACAGATGACGACTCATGCCAACGAGAAGCCAATCCAAACATGCTGATGACTCTGAACGCTGAAACTGATATCAACGAAAGCCGGGGATCGAAGTACCTTGACCCTAGTCCGGGATTCTCGCCATTTTGACCAGGCTTGTGTTGTGGCCAAGTCGCCAAGTCGCTTTTTTTATTCTAATCACCTGATTTCATATATTTATATATAGTGTCTTATAAATTTTATCAAAATATGCTGCCTTCAACACCACATTCTTTTCTTCTCAAATGCGACTTGGCGAAACAGGAGACGAAAGCCTTGGGTGAGTTGCCAATTCTTGCCTTCTTGAAATTGGGCAGTTTAGACATGTTTCCCAAGGAACTACGAGAAGCTTGACTGAAAAGAGTTATTTGCCCAGTTCCTGCACAAGTAGTGATAATCTATAGGTTATGATCATCTTATCAGCTTCTTAAGTCTTCCTATGCTGTTATAACACCACTCTGAAAACGTTTTGAAGCGACCTGAGTTCCTGGGCTAAGGCAGGGTAGTAGACCGCGGCCTTAAGAAACTATTACGGAGAACAACGGCTTTGTTTTGAATGACTTCCGTGCCTTTGTTTGCTGCAAATAAAAACCATATTACAGTATGTTCTTATCTTGACCTCTTACTTTAGAGATGGAAGGAAAGATAAAGCCTGCATTGAGAAAGAGAGAAATTTTGAAACTGTGATGCACACACACACACACACACACACACACACACACACACACACACACACACACACACACACACACACACACACACACACACACTGAACGTGCACGAAAGTAAACAAAAGATCAGTCGTCAGAAGGATAAACACACGACAAAAAAAAAAACGGAATCAGCATCACCTTAGAAAATGGAGTTTTGTCTCATCTTCTTGTATCAAGAAACTTAACTTATTAAACTTTGGTAATCAGGCTATGACAATATAATGAAATAGAATGTTGTAATAGAATAACTAGGCTATGGCACTAAAAAGTGTGTTCTAGTATACTTTATGAAACATTTTGAGTTTACTAAAGACTTTTGTATTGATATATCAGCGGACCAACACAAACAGAAAGAGATACTCATCTATCCATTTACTCTTACGAAGACCAAAGGTTCGAAAGTATTGAAATGGAAAGAAAAAAAATGGTTACCATACGAAGGAAATACTCAGCATCCTCTGCCTGAGCTTGTGTTTTATATGTACTAAACCTAGAATGAAAAAATATATATTTATATATATACATATATATCTTCAAATAATAATTTATTCGACTGCAGGATCTAGGCCACCACCAATTTATTATTGAGACGTCATTTGTCAGTCAAAATTGGTCCTATGCCCATGAAACATGCTTACTAAGCCGCGGGATGATGCGGTAGGGTGGCCAGTTCCTTTCCACCCCGACTTTGACCCCAACATGCTGACGTCAGTATATCAGTACTCATTCACAGCTGAGTCGACTGAGAGGGGCGGCGGCCGGGCGCGAACCCAGGACCTTGCGATTGCAAAGTCAGCGCTCTACCACTGAGCTATGCCACCCGTTTGGCAGTACCTTACCTAATTGGATGCCCTTCCTATTCAACCGCGGTTCAGCGCGCTACCACTCAAGTCAAGATCAAGTTAATAGTCAGAGCGCAGGCATTTTTTACAAATGCCATGGCGGGGAATTGAACTCGGGAGCACGAGGGTCGGAGTCCAGTGCTCTATCCATTGGACCACCGCGGCATTTATATAAATATATGAATAAATAAATAAATATATATATATGTATATATGTATATATGT